AGAAGGTTTCAACTGATCCAGTAGACACATTTGTGGAAGTAGAAACTCTTTTAGAACTATTACCATCATCATGTGCATTAGAAGAAATAGTCTCACGAGGTTCTTTAAATCCAGCTTTAATAAGTTCAGATTTCTTCTTATTAGCTTTAAAATCAGTCAAAAGTTTCTTCAAGTTTTGGCTCACCTCCGGAGGAACCTTTGTACATACAACATTATCCCCACTAACTCCAGCTATATGTTTTTCCATTCTAGTGATTCCTCCACCTCTGAATACTTTCTTACAATATATGCAAGTGCATACCTCAACCTTTCCCTCAAGATGAAAGGTACAATGATTCCAAGTTGGATCAGTTTTGGCTCGTACATTCTTTGTTGACACCTGTGGTCTACTAGAAGCTGCTCCTTGCTCAAATGCCGGGGTTTCTTTCCTGCTAGCCATTGCTGTCACAATAAAAACAATAAACATAATGTTAGTAAACACCCACAAATTTTGTGCTACAGATCTTCATTCACTTCAGGTAATAACTAATAAACCACCCCTCTTGCTTTTTTAATCTTATTTGTTCATCGTTCCGAATTCAATTTCTTTAGTTATGTTAATTTTAACCCAACAGAAAGCAATTTTTTAAAGGAGACCAATTTGTAAAATAATGCTTTGTTAATTTTACCGCAATAGAATGCAATATTACCCTTCATCTTCATCCAAAGCATCACTTGAGTTCTGCTTACTAACCCATGAATCAACCTATTTCAATGTTTTTATTTGATTTTGTACAAAGTAGAATAGAAGCAGCGACAAAGGGAGAAGGAGAAAACAAACACTACCTCTAACAATTAAGGCAACTCCTCTTTCTCCGGCGTGGCGCGGGGAGGACGCGTTTGCTGGGAAGGACGCGTCGCCGGTGGTATTTGGTTGCTAGGGAGGACGTGTCGCCGGTGGTGTTTGATTGCTGGGGAGGACAAGAGAGTAGAGAGTAGAGATAGAGCGGCGCGGGGAGACGAGAGAGCAGAGACAAGAGCGCTAGCAAGGGCCAGCCGAGGTAGGGTTTTCGTCTTTGCTTTTCTTCCGTTTTTTTTTGTTTTTTTTGTTTAAACTTATGTCAAACGACGCCGTTTTGTTTAAATTAAGGGACCGCCGGTTTTATTAAAACCGACCAAAATTTTGGCTCATTGAGGTCCAACCGCAAATACCGCCCGACAGGAAGGTGAAGGGTACATAGCCCCTATTGTGCCAGGCCTGGTCCGGTTTTTCCGGTCCGATATCCTGGTCCCTGCAATTTACCCTAATGCCCCTCCATATTTAATTTAAATAAAAAGAAAAGACTGACACGTGGGGGCCAGGGGAAATGGTTACTGATGATTACTGATGGGAGAGTTACTGATCTGATCTGCTCTATTAAATAAATTGTTACCCGTTGCCATCTCTCATAGTGTCCCATCCTCTAGACCTCTACCAAATAAATTGTTACTCGGACTAGAACAGTAAGGGATCAGATCAGGTGACTAGGGGGGGTCCCTTAATCACATGACTAAGCCAATCTCAACCATTCATTCTCATTAAAATCTAATGGTCCTAACTTATTCAGTTTAATGAAGGATAAGATGGTAATTACACATTTAATTTATTTAACAATTAAAATTAAAAAAAATGCATCCAGCGTGGTATCTCCTGCCTCTCGCCGGTATTACTTTTTGCCGGTGACCTTCCGGGGGTCCCTCGCCGGGATCATTTTTGTCGGAAACCCTCGTCGGAATTATTGCCATGGCCTTCTGGCCATTCTTTCTTTCATAGGTATTACTGCCATGGCCTTCTGGCCATTCTTCGTTTCCTGGGGATTTTTCGAGAGAGAGAGAGAGAGAGAATTTTGCTGATGGGAGGAGATTTTCTGGCGACCAGCGACAATGGAGAAGGATTTCCCGACGACAGTGCTAGATTTGTGATGTTTGTTGATCTATTTTGTAATGTTTGTATCGATTCGGTTTGTATTGTTCATGATTCTTGTTTGTTATTTTTAGTGACATTTTATAATGTTTTGTACGCTTTGTTATTTTGTAATGTTCATCATGCTTTGTACTATTTGTTGGTTTATTTTGTAATGTTTGTACGCTTTGTTATTTGGTAATGTTTGTTTGTTTTCTTTTGTAATGTTTGTAAACTTTGTTATTTTTGTGCACCATGTTTATTATTTTTGTCAACCATGTTTGTAATGTTTTTTATGTCTAAAAAACAACCTGGTTGACTTTTGGATGAAACTCCTCTATATAGGGATGGAGCCTCCAAAGTCAACCCTGGTGTTTTTTCCAGTTTGTATGGATTGTCGGTCTAATTTGTCATTTTTGTCCACCATGTTCGATTGTTCGTAATGTTTGTATGTCTAAAAAACAACCGGGTTAACTTTGAGACGGAGCCCTCTATATAGGGATGGAGCCTCCAAAGTCAACCCGGTTGTTTTTTCTTTTTTTGTATGGTTTGTATTGTTTGTCGGTCTAGTTTGTATTGTTTGTACAGTCATACGTCTGTAATGTTTGTAAATCTGTTTGTATGTTTTGTCGTTGTAGTTTGTACTGTTTGTATGGTTTATACTGATTGTAAGTCCGGTTTGTATACTTCGTAATTTTCCATAATACACAAACTACTTCTGTCATTAATTAAATAGCCATTCCCACTTTTTAACCGTCATATTGCTGTGTCCAGATCTAAGGGTTGAGAGGGGCTTAGCCAAGTGACTAAACAGTAAACACCCCCTAGTTATGATGGATTTGTTGCATTTTGTATTTGAAAGATAACATTGTTTGTTTAGTTGAATTTTTATCATGGATTTAGTTCATTTGGTATTTGGGTCTCAAAAATTTGCCTTCCATAATGTGGTATTTCCAAATACGTGGGGTCCGCGGATTTGTGTACTTCAACAAACAATTTTTTTTGGCAAATACACTTGCATAGCCAAAACTTTCACCTTTGTGCCACTTATAGCCACATTTGGCGAAATACCACTAATAGCCACTTCCGTCCGATTCTTTAACGCTGTTAACGTTAAGTGTGACTGGGCAAACGGAAGGGCTTACGTGTCAAGCCTGCGTTTTACATAGGGGTGTTCAAATGGTTACCATGGTTATAACCAAACCAAATAAGGCTAAATTCCATTAAACATGGAATACAATATCATAACCAAACCGTCCAAACTAATACAACAACCAAATTAACCAAACTAAAGTTTAATCGGTTTGGTTAATTGGTTAACCAGATTAACCAATATAAAATCACATTATCATTGACGATGAAAATTTTCCGGTTAATGCAACAATTCGCAATTTATATAATGAATAAAACATAACAATCAACACGTAGTTATAGTTGACCCTTAACAAAAATACATGCAACTAAGACAATTATCTTACGATTAGTATAGAAGTATTCACCTAACAAAAAATTATGACAATGGTATGGGTTAATGAATTGTTGTGTTTGTGTAAATTGACTCACGGGTCGTTTGGATGCATCATTTTGGTTCTATGGTATTTCGAATCCAAATGATGCGTTATTTTGCTATGTGGCATTTCATGTGGTATTTCATTTTGAAATATGCTAATTGGTGTAATTGCCTTGTTTGGATAAAACATTCAAATATTGTTCTATTTCACCACTTAAAGAAGGGATGAAGTGGAAAAAGAAGTTGGGAGATGAGGTATTTGAAATAACTAGGGGGTGAGTAGGTATTTCAAATAACTCACAATGAGTTATTTCAATTGACTCATGGACAAAATACCACATTCTACTTTATTTTTGCCAAACGAGTTATTTTGATTGAAATACCTCATTCTGAGTTATTTCGACCAAATTACCTCATCAAAATGCTGCATCCAAACGACCTGTTAGTCTCTTAGCAATTATCATAGGCTGGAAATGACCTTCCTTTCAAGTTTTCATTCAACATAATATATGAAATTTATCTAAATTAGGCGTCCATATGTTGTGGTCTAGACTTTACATATACAAATATACACTATATGAGCAATATTGAGCTTTATATTTTATGAGTCTAAAAGGGATGAACGTTAACTCTTGAGTGGTTATGCAAAGTATTATGTGTATATAATATATGTTAGATATATGACTAATTAATTAACTGGTTAATTTGGTTTAACTGGTTAGGAGTGTCTGAAACAAAACCAAACCACCTAAACCAAACAAGCTAAAAACTTTAACCAAACCAAACCAATTATCCAAATTAACCAAACCAAATTATCGAAATAGTACCGGTTAAAACGGTTACCACGGTAACCAAACCGTTTGAACACCCCTAGTTTTACACGTGGATAAACATTAAAAAAAATTACAAAATCCCTAATTTTTACTCCGTAGTTTTCTCCTCAATCGAATATTACTCCTTTGTTTTCTCCTCAGTCGAATTCACCCACCCATATTCGAAGTCGACGAAGGCAGCAAAGTCGACGAAGGCGGCAAAGTCAACGAAGGCAACGATCTGCCTCCGACGACCAGTGTACCCAACCTCTCTTCCTTCCCCCACCATCGAAATACCCAAAAACCTCCAGTCCCGATTTTTCTTCCAGTCTCGATTTTCCTCCTTCGATAAAAACTTCCATGCATCCAATGGGTTGACCAATCGCCGGCGAGCTTTGGCGGAGTCCTTCGAAGCTTGTTTTGTGTTGTTTGCTTTGAAGGAATCTCGGAATCGACCCTTGCAATTCGCGATTTGACTGGGTTCGTCGAAACCCTAATCGCACTTGAAAGGGGGATTTTTGCTCCCACTCTTGTGTCGTGACTGGTAAGGTTCTTTTCTTGCTTTGTTACTGTGGTTGTGGATTGCGGGGTGAAGGTTCTTATAGTTTACTGCTTCTCTTTGTTGCTTGGTTGGTATCGAGCTGTAAAGACAAGAAAGCGACACGGCAGAGGAATCTCGGGACCACTCGATTGATCATTTTTGGCGAGTTTGCCCCCATAATTGAAGATCAGTTAGTCGATGTACTGGGTTAGAATTGTCTATTCCTCTTTGATTCTCACGAACCCTAGAATTGAATACTGTTAGCATTTGTTTACCATTTGTTTGGTAGCGATTAAAATACTGTGAGCATTGTTTAATCACGTGGTTAATGGTGATTAAAAAACTGATTAAAGCTTGATGACAGATGGTTGATTCTTGGGACTCTGCTTTTGGGGAGAACGATACAGAGGCTATGGTAGGGTCAGATTTCTCCTTGCCTGCAGAAGATGGAATTGAGGCTTCTGTTGCTAGAGACATATACCGCGTATATGACTCAGACGACGCTGATACTTCTGACGACGAATACCACGAAGCAAGGTCAAACCTACGAGCCTATGGGGAGATGAGGAAAAGGAAGGTTAAGGCGCGGATTGATGGCCATGGGGAGGAGGTCGAGCAGCTGGACGATTTTGAAGAAGAGGAATCTGATGATGAAGATGATGCTTTGGCTGATGAACACTAAGAGGAAGATCCTGCTGCCTCTCATGCTAATGAACGCGAAGAGGAAAAAGTTGTTGGCTCTCATGCTGATGAAGGAGTCTAAGCTAGTGAAGCACCTCAAGTTCGGGAAACAAGGGGAGAAAACTAAAACCACTCGAGTTATAGAGGATATGAAGACTCAAACCACGTCAGGCCTAACCTATCTGACTCGGATGGTAGGGACATATTTGATGACGCACCGCATTATGATCCGCTTTGTGATCATACTGTTCTGGAGTTTGTGCCAAGGATGAAGTTTGCTAGTGCTGTGGAGTTCAAGGCTGCTGTCGTCCGTCATTCTGTAGCCACTGAGGTCCAGATGAATGGAAGTCAACCCCCACCCTCGCAGCCTTAGACCTGTATATCCATGAGTCAACTAATCTTTTCTGTGCAAGGCCATTAAGCTATTAGCTACCTCACTAAAGGTTTTTTTGGGAAAGATGACTCATGTATTGGCCTTTTATGAACACTCTCAGAGTATGTTAGTATGTTTGGTAGGCAGACTAATGTAATGTAATGCTCGGATTAAGAAGAACTCGGAGTATGTTGATAGGCAGACTTATGTAATGTTTTGCTCCAATTATGAACAAATCGGAGTATGTTAGGCTACTATGTAATGAACAACTTGGATTATGCTATTGTGTTAGGCTTCTCTTGGTAAAAATGTCAAGGACACAAATACCAATTGCTTCATACAAATGTCGAATTACATCAACAATGTCGATTAATTTCCTACCACATAATAACGTGGTGCAAAGTACAAATTAGCAACTCTCTCTACTACAAATGTCGAATTATAGCATTCTCATTGTGCCATAACTTCGTCATCTTATTACTGCAGATAAGCCCTTTTGCACAAAGTACAAATTAGCAACTCTCTCTACTACACTAAAAGCTGCTGCTAGCTTCAGCAGTTGATGAACTATGTATATATGAAAACAGGGGATCTCAAAATCTCTCATCAAATCTTCATCCATTCTTTCCATATAGAGAGTAGACTCCAATTACATAAACAATGTCGATTAATTTCCTACCACATAATAACGTGGTGCAACATAAGAATAACCAATATTAGGTTCAGTACGACAATCACTATCAATAAAGCTCGAATTACACGGATTTCATGATTAACTCTCCTTCCTTCAGCTAGCATAATTTCATGTGCCTTCATCCATCCTGATAGCTCTTCAGCCAAAAGTTTCTTCTCCTTCTTCCTCCTTTCCGCCTTACAGTCAGCTAGCCTCAAAATTTCTTCAATATTCAAAGTCGACAACCCAATTACAGAATCATGGTGCTTATCTTCATCGACATTCATTCGCACCCACCTAAAAAAACGACAGTTCTTCTTCTCGTCCTGCACCATACGAGCATTCAACTTAGAACTCACATCAATGACAATTTGAAAACCCATCTCTAAACACCTTACCATCCAAAATGGACACCCATAGAACTGTCTTCCTGGGTTCGCTTCGGTTCCAGATGTATTAACCATACATGGCTTCTTGTGCCAACAGAGTACCGCCCCTAGGCTATTGATGCTAGTCGAAGTTGAGGAAGATGCTCGCTTGGACATGGCTGACCTTCGCGTGAAGTTCTGGACAGGAGAAATCGCGATTTCGGGGTCGCGAATCGGCCGAGAAGAAGTGGGATTTGGGGAAGAAGGAAGAAGCATCGAGTCGTTCAGAAACTAGAAGAAGATTTGGGGAAGAGGAGTAAGCATCGATCAGCTTCGTGTATCTCCTTCGTGGGGAAGAGGAAATTTGGGAAGAACCCTAATATCGTTTTCTAGAAAGAGATGGAGAAGAAGGAAGCCCTAATTTCGTTTTCTGGAAATAGATGGGGATTTTTGGAAGCCTCGTGCGATCAGGTATATGGGGAAAGTTTTTAATTTTTTAATAATAAATAAATTATTAAGATGACGTGTCAATTTTTGCTTAGCTGTCGTTGACGTGGTTGATGATTTGGCGCCTCGTCAGCCAACCGTCAAATAAGTTGACGGAGTTATTAACACCGTCATAGTTTCTAACGGAAATGGCTATATCTGGCACGCAACATCTTTCAAAAGTGGCTATTAGTGGTATTTCGCCAAATATGTCTATAAGTGACACAAATGTGAAAGTTTTGGCTATACAAGTGTATTTTACCATGTTTTTTCTTATCAAATACATAATACTTGATATTTGAATGTCAAATATATCACCCAAATCCACAAACAAACGAACTCTAAAAAGAAAAACACTAACGAAACAAAAACCCATCCGATTGACGCCAAGAAACCGACGGCACCCGGCCAGAGCACAATCCCCGTTTCTTCCCTTCATTTCTTGTTCACGCTTCTCTCTTTCTGTATGTTTCCCGGGAAAGCAAATCCATTTCGGAGAAAGTGAAGCAAGCCGACGACGACGACGACGACGACGACATTGCACTCTTCCGAGTAAAGATCCAAAACTCAGTAGATCGCACATGGTTAGATCGTGATTGCGACTGTCCCCGCGAGTAAATCAATTGCCCCGTCCTTCCTTGCCAATCATCTTCTTTATAAAAGAGACGGAGGCTAACACGAGGGAGGAGAGCTGGATCCGTCTCTGGAACCAGCGCAGTCCTTGAAGGCACCAGCCGCCGCCGCAGCCGCTGCCACTGCCACTAGCAGTAACGGTCAGATCCGCTACCGCTCGCCTTCCTCCGCCGAGCTACTGGAGATCGGAGCCACTTCCCCGACTCATTCCGACCATCCCTCCTCCGACAAGATGAACAAGCGCAACGCCCTCCGCCACGAGAATTTCTCCGATAAGATCCACCGGCATCGGAGCGTTCTCTTAGTGATCTCCATCCCTCTGCTTCTGATCGGATTCGTCTTGTTCGTCATGCCCGGCCGGGAGGAGTACGAGATTACTAACCGTAAATTGTCTCCCAATTTGAAGAACTCTAGGAACTACGCTGTTATTTTTGATGCCGGTAGTTCCGGGAGTCGAGTTCATGTCTTCTGCTTCGATCCCCGTATGGATCTCATTCCAATCGGCGGAGAGCTAGAGCTTTTCGTCCAGGTAATTTTTCTCGATCTTTGGCTGCAATTCGGTCATAGAATTCCGATTCCTGTTTGACTCTAGTTCTCCCTTGTGGACTTGCTTTGTGAATTACCGAATTGTGATGGCTGACATTGCTCTGTTTTGTCTTGTTTTAGCTTAAGCCTGGTCTGAGCTACTATGCCAAGGACCCACGAGCGGCAGCGGAGTCCCTAACTTCTCTTCTCGATAAGGCAGAAGCTGCTGTGCCCAAGGAATTGCGATCCAAGACCCCAGTTAGAGTCGGGGTGAGTAATCTTTCATGTTTCTCTTCTGTTGTAGTATCATTGTTATGGATAATGTCAAGCAAATGCTGGTGCGCAATGTTGGATTCTGAAATTGCTTCACTGTAGGCGACTGCAGGCTTGAGGGCATTAGAAGGTGATGCATCTGACCGAATTTTGCAAGCGGTAATGAAGTCTTTCATTTCAATATTATGTCACCTTTTCTACCTTGTTGGGCTGCAATCTCATTACTATGCTCATTGTGACTTGTGTTTTAAGGTCAGGGATCTTCTGAAAGATCGAAGCACCTTGAAATCTGATGCAGATTCAGTCACTGTCTTGGATGGGTCTCAAGAAGGTTCTTATCAGTGGGTATGTTGTTCTGTCTTGTATGTTTACTCTCTGATAATAACCTCATAGATCTTTTTCCTATGTTTCATTGTACAATGACTAATAAGCCACAATACCTTAAAAAAATCAGTTTGGTGACTCTGTATTAGCTGTGTAAAATACATGAACGTTTACTCCATGTTAGAGCTGTATCCAGTAGTTTGCCATTTAAGTGGAGTTTCCTTCTATGTGGCAAGGATTAGTTCACTTAGTTTGAACCTGATCTGCTAACCAGGGGTTCAAATTCCAAAGTTATTGCCAATGTTAAGTCTAATGAACTTCATGTTGGTAAAAAAAACTACGACTGTCTATTTGCATTGAAGGGGTCAGACAGCAGTGTTTAAGCAACAATTGGTTTCTTGTCATCTTGTTTTCTTCAGCATCCACTGGTGATTGTTTGCTAAAGTATCTCCGACTTGAGCGATACTGAAATTATGATACTACCTCATCTAGTGTTGCTCAAAGAAAGTCAGGGAAACATGCCAGTAATATTGTTGAGATGTAGTTGGGCTATCTGCACTGAAATGATAAACAGGCTATTTCATATATTGCTATGAAGGGGAAGAATCTGTTTGGAAGAGGTTAAGTTGGAACCCCCTGAGTCAAATAACCAGAACACGAAACATGAGTTCTTGATGAGTTGATGTTGCCCCAAGTTTTGAATATGGGTTGTAGCACATGGGAACAGAATTGAACGTTTTTATTTTCCCTTTTGACAAGGGAGTTTGATTGGAGTGTTGTTCACTCATGTCTTTCATCTCCTTTCTTCAAATTTTTCCCCTCCCAGGTCACAATTAATTATCTCTCAGGAAAGTTGGGGAGGTCTTATGCCAGTACAGTTGGCGTAGTTGATCTTGGTGGTGGGTCTGTTCAAATGGCATATGCCATATCTGAGGCTGATGCAGCAAAAGCTCCAAGGGTGACAGATGGGGAAGATACCTATGTACACAAAATGCTTCTGAAGGGAACAACATATTACCTCTATGTTCACAGGTCCTGTTCCTCAAGCTTCATATCTAACATAATGTTACCCATCCATTCTTCTTCTGATACATTAGAAACATCCATTCTTATAACAAAATTTGTGTGGAATGTTACACATGCAGCTATTTGCACTATGGACTATTAGCTGCTAGAGCAGAGATTTTAAAGGTTTCTGATGGCTCTTCCAATCCATGTGTTTTGGGTGGTTATGATGGTACGGTTAATTGCTTTTTCATTGGAGAAACATCATTATTTTTATGTCATAGCAACACATTTGTTAATAAAATTAGTTTCCCTAATATAATTATCTGTGCTTTCCAATGATCACTAAAAGGTGTGCGAATCAAAAGTTTAATTCTTTTCGTCTTTCTGGCAGAGTCTCAACTCGTTTGCAAACAGGTCACCGAGTGCTTACTGGGATCTTATCTGCTTTTCCTTGCAGGTTCATACTCGTACGGAGGAGAGAACTTCAAGGCTTCCTCATCTCCTAGCGGTTCTAACTTGGAAGAGTGCAGAAGGGTAGCCACTAGGGCACTGAAAATTAATGAGACGACATGTGTGCACATGAAGTGCACCTTTGGTGGAATATGGAATGGTGGTGGGGGGGATGGCCAAAAGAACCTATTCGTTGCTTCATTCTTCTTTGACAGGGCTGCTGAGGTACTTATCCCTTATTCCCTCTTCTTTATTGCTGATTGTGAAATCAGAAGGGATTATATATACCCTTTTCTCCACCTTGCTCCAGTTGCTAAGAGTGTGAAATATCAAATATGAGTGCAGGCAGGTTTCATTAATCCCAAAATACCTGTTGCCAAGGTTCGTCCATCGGATTTCGAGGAAGCAGCTAAGCGCGCTTGCGAATCTAAGCTTGATACCGCCAAAGCTACTTACCCTGGTGTCGAAGAGGGTAACCTGCCATATCTCTGCATGGATCTTGTCTACCAGTACACATTGCTTGTTGATGGATTTGGTAAGCGGCATAAACTTTTGCTTTTGGTTTCTCTCTCACTTTGTTGGATGAGCGACGCAAGTTGTTAAAGATGAACTTTCCCTACTTCGTAATGTATTGTTCACCCGCACACTTAACTCTTTATATAGGTCTGAGTCCCTGGCAAGACATCACGCTGGTGAAGCAGGTTAAATACCGAGATTCGTATGTTGAAGCGGCTTGGCCATTAGGTAGCGCCATTGAGGCTGTCTCAGCGTTATGATTTTGATTCATGAGTAGGCTTGGAGTTTGACCAAGAAGGCTAGAAGATTGTGTGGATGGATTTAGATCTGAGAAGAGTGCACCGGCAATTAATGTTTTCAAAGCTGCAGCTGGGAAATGGAGGAGATGAGAGACCCTTTTGATTGCGCATATAATCTAATTTCGTAATAATTGGTGGTGATACGGGGAAAGAAGAGGTAGAGAAGTGCTACATTTTGATTATTGCTTGGCTTGTGCCCCTATGGCATAATTCATTAGACGCCGAGCTCCGATTTTTTTTTATTATTACATATTGCTGTTGCTGTTATCTTCATTCTGTAACTAGGTTGGTGAACATCGTGATTTGGTATACCATTTATCTGAATTTTGATTCAATTCAATTGACCTCGTCTTCTGTTTTATGTGCTTGTATTGGATCAGTCATTTGTTTCTTTTCTTTCCTTAGAAGCCCTCGCTTCGAACCATCAGCTAGGCTTCTGGTGGTTGGTGGATAAGGTAAGTAACGGTAATCATTGGTTATTGGTTACTGAACTATTAGTAACTAAATCTGCATCTTTAGATTAAATATAAGTAGGTACAGAAAATTCAGATTTAAAAGTTGTCGATTAAAGAAAGGCATTTTATTTTATCTAGTTTTCTTAATCGGCTCTTATCTTCTTCGTTCTAACTCGGATTTCATTTTTTTTTTTGAACAGTTGGAACGTGTTCGTTGTGCTCTACAAAATGAGATCAATTTTCAATATATTTCGAGAAACTTTTTTTTACCAATTAGATACCATATGGTAACTTCTTCGTTTTTAAGTCGTTTTTCAAAATGTTTGCTCAGAAGGAACGAGTTCATCATGATCTATTGGATCTATAAATTTCTGGGTGAAAAAAATACCGGATAAAAAATTACCATACTTTACCACTATGGTATGTGGGTGGTAACTTGTAGATACTCATACTATCATGTATTCAACCTTCTTAGCATATTGGTATGTTCATACCATCATGGTACACTTTCTTACCATCATGGTACGCTTTCTTACCATATGGTATTAAATAGGAGCATATCATATGGTAATGACTGATAAAAAATTATTCAATTTTGTTTGAACTAAAAATATATTAAAGTGGATATCATTTTAAAGAGCACATATAATCTGATTTATCTGTGCAAAAAAAAATTAAATTTCGACTTAAAACGAGAGAAAAATCGTCTGTTAAAGATTAAAAGGGAATAGATAAAAGACTTTTCAGGAGAGAGAATACTAGTGTGGACAGGTTACTCATGGTTACTAACCATTGGGTTATTGACCTGATCCGTTCCCGTCAGTAACGCCCTCTAGTGTAATAAGATGTGGTCATTTGGACCTTTCGTGGGTTCCAAATCTAAGAGTTGGAATTAAAAAAATTTTATTTTCTAATTTTTTTAATCGACTCATATACTTTTCGTTCTAACTTGCATTTCAATTTTTTTATAGATGTAACGAGTTTGTTTTTTTCCATAGCAGAAAGTACTCATCGATGAATGCTTGTGCTAGGGTCTCCCATGTGGTGAAGGTGCCTAGTGGATGGTAGTCAAGCGACTACTTTGTTCCTCCTCCAAGTGAGTACGAGAAAAGTAGTCGAATTCCATAATCATCTCCTGATATGAAATTGACGATCTCTAAGAATGTCTTCAAGTGTTACACTGGACCATCATCATTCCTTCCTCCAAATGTCCTAGCTTGTTGCACCATCTAGATAATTTGAGTTCTGATTTCTATAGTCGTTGGTGGCGTAGCAATGCTTGAGTTGATGTTTCATGCTTTTGGCCTTGAATACTCACATAGAGTAGGTGGAATGGCCACTTGTCATTGTCCTTCTTCAGTAGCCATCGCCAGTGTTGAAGACGTTGAAGATGCTCCTTCTACCTCAAGAATCAAGTTGTCTTCTTCAATCTTGTCATCCTCTTCCAAGTTTTTCTCGAAATTGCTGGAGCTTAAGGGCTCTTCTTCTCCTTAGCTAGATGCCCCTTCCTTCGTTTCAAGAGGGGTGAAATCATGGCCCCTCCTTCTTGAACTATCTCTTGCATTATCTTTAGGGTTTTAGTTTGTCATCTAGTACTTACTAGACTCATGCGACAACCTGCAAATACAAAAGATACTCAATACTAAACATAAGATGGTTAGATGCATTTATAAATGATTAGAAATCACCGACATGGTGCCAAAAACTTGATGTGTAGAAAAGTGATAAAATCTTAGGATACCCTAGGGTTGTATTCCTCAAGGTCTTCTAATGCATAACTACTACTCACACTAACCATCGAGGACACACAAAATAAGAAAGACTTCTAGGGGTTTTCTTTTAACAAACAAGCAAAGCAAGAAGAGTAAAGTTATTTAGGTATTTTTCGATTTATAAATGTGTAAAAGTAAAGTTACGTTATTGTAGAAGGTAGTAAACACGGCGAGTACTATAGTGCATAACTAGGGTGCAATCACAAGATGCATCGATGATGCATCTATTGTAACACTTTATCCCTTCCTCTAAGGCCACTCTCTACCTGTGCAGGCACCTCTTACGATAGAGATTTAACTAACTAATGCGTGCTGATTTCACTTCATGCCATCACCTAATTAATGAAGAACAATGATTTTAGGATAGGATATCGTTAATTATGGGCTTCTGCAAACCATAATCATAGTCTATAGCATCAATGTCTAACAATCAAGCATTGATACCACTCGAGGTATAGATGTTTGATCATTCCCTCTATACTCGTGTAGCATCAATGTGGTATCACTAGAGATTAATTTCTTATCAATCTAGGTAATACTAAGCACCAATGAGCAAGGGTGCCTATCGTTATAAGGTAGTATAGAAGGAAGCAAGTTCGTATCCACAGAGACATCGTGTAATAGTACTCAACTTTATCTATTATCTAGTCAATCATTTTTATTTGATTTTAAGATATAACCACACATGTATTAATAAAAACACAATTAAATTTTTTAAAGTAAAATCAAGAGGAGAAGGCTTTGCCCCGGAAGTGGATCCCCATAATACGAGTTTTACAAATTAGTTGAATACAACATAGACGGAAGTTCGTATCTTAGAGCGTGAAAATTTCAGATTTAGTGTTAACCTGTTCGCACATGTACTAACACCCTTTCAATATAAGAATCAAGTGAAACCATAGCTTACAAAACTCTTAAACCAAAGCAATAAAAAGATTTGTGAATTCTCATATTAGATTTTAACCTAATTCGGAGGAACTACGTGACCCTATCGCTAATGGCTCTATTCCATTCCTTCTTTTCCACGATTGATCTAACATACAAAATTACCTCGCAGCCTCATTCACATGTATCAAACAAAATACACAATAGGCGCACAACTATTGATAATTGCACATGATGGATCGAGAAAAGAACGTAAGAACAAGAACAATACGTCTATATCAAAGAATGAAATCAATCCATATAAAGCATATTAGGGTTCATCAAATCTGGAGCAACTAGAAGATTAGCCGGACTTGATGAGGTTTAGAAAAATGGAGGTTGAGAACATTACCATGATGATGACGAGCAAGAACAATAGGGTTGGGAATACGGTATATATATATTGGGTTAATAGATTACACATATGAAATTTCAAACGAGGGAATAATCATTAGACGAAGACAATGATAATCCGACCAATTTACTACCTCAATGATTATCAATCCCACTAAACAGATGTTCACTTCGGTAATCTCAATAACGCAATATACTATGGTATTCTGAAACATGAACACAAACATGAGAACCACGATGTAAGAAATACGAGATACGATTAACAAAACGAAAAGGGAGAAACAAGAGTTTCAAATGGAAAAGGACATAATATCGGCTATCTTCTAACATGAGAAAGAAAGAACAAAGTCGGTCGTTTGGTTTTGGTGATAGTTTGGTTGAGATAGTTATAATACATGCATTGTCCACAATGCATCGTTTTTTTTTTTTTGAATTTTCTACACAAAAAATATATGCATTGTTTTCTTGATTTGACACAAATAGTTAAATCTCTAGTTTTAGTTGAGATTGTTTGGTAGAGATTGTTGGGTTTTGTTTTGTTCCAACTACGTCCCTACCTTTTTATGTGTGTTGCTTTTTAATATTAAAAACAAAGATCAAAAGTGTCATTTCATCCAAAAAGTAATATAACTTATTTCAATATTTGAATAACTATCACAGAAACCAAACGAGGTAAACTACAATACACCAATTTTCTTATATACATGTATATTATTATACATGCATTGATGATAATGCATCAATTTAACTATCACCAAAACCAAACGACCCTTAGTGTAGTAGGAGGTCCTGGAGGTGTGTATCCCTTTTTTGCTCTTGAAAGCTTCTATTTATAAGTAGCATCATGATTCATGTCTGACATGGCCTAACAACACAACCGTGTTCCAGGCCGTGTTCACAACTGGTCGCTATATCGATTTGTCAGCATTGCAGAGATTGATTGATTGATTTCCTTACTCAACATGATCGGTGAACACGATTGTGTTCCCGGCCGTATTGACTAGTAAGTGGGGAAACTATTGGTTGTTACTCTTTTGAAACGTGCATAAAATGTCAGCATGCCCAACTAAGTATGGTGGACAATTCATTGATTGATTTCTCTTGTACAGAAAATTCAAAAAAAAAAAAAACAATGTATTATGTACAATTCATTGAAAGCATTCCAATGAAACTATCACCAAAACCAAATGACTTTGTTGTTATCTTTGATAATACTGTTTGGTTCATCTTTGATCCAATGCCGGAATCAACTTAGTACTCAACTCCAACAGCACCACACCAAAGCTCAAGACCAGCAAAAGAAGACGCATAAACAACAGAAGGCAGGACAGCAAAAAGAGTTTTCCTTTCCTACCCATTTCTTCTTCCCCGCGTTTCAAACGAGATATATGTGTACAAGTATACAACACCACCAACGGAGAAGGAAAAAGAAAGAGGCAGAAATTTTAAGCCACCCTCCTCTCCTCTCCTCTACTCTTTTTTCTGTCCGAAATTCTAACACTGCCCAACACGTAGTTGCTTCTTCTTCTTTTATTCTTTCCTTCTTTCTTCGGGGTTGGGCTTTTCGCTGAAGCCTTCCTTCCTCTTCCCCAAATCTCCTAATTGTTCGCATCACCTCTCGATTTCCCCATTGCCCCCTCACTCTTTCTAATTGCACCTTAACCGTTCTGTGATTCTTCTCCGTAGCTGTTTCTTCTTGTCGAGGAAGTGAAAAACCGAGATGGGCATGGCGGGTGAGGTGGTTAAACTGAAGCGGGCGGCACTAGAGGCATGCATGACATGCCCTCTCTGCAACAAGCTGCTCAGAGAAGCTACCACCGTCTCTCTCTGCCTCCATACGTGTAAGTTCTCCTTTTCTCCCCGACTCTCCATTCTTCTCTTCCTAAGATGTTATATGGACGGGAGTCTTCCCCTTTTGATCTGTGTTTGGTGGATGCGATTTATGTTTCGTATGATTGTTTCTTGTTTCCCTCAAGGGCTTACTTACTTTCGCAGCATTTTCGTTCTTCTGCTTCTACGTTTCCCTTCAATGGTTTTTTTGGGTATATTTCTACTTACTTTTTGGCGTGCGTGAATTGAATGCTGCCCGATTATGAAGATCGGTGGAAGGTGAAGGCTGTTGCTTTGCTGCAATTCCTGAAATGGGTTGTGTTCTGGTTAGAATGTTTGCATTTGGGCTCTTGACTCTCGATGCGGTCTTCTCTTTTAGCAATAACTTTGATTCTGTGGGGAACGTGCGATGATGACCCTACGAGATGTGTACTTCCTTTCCTGTTTTCCCCCTTCATTATGGATTTTTGGTGTTATAGATTGGTGATAATGCGAGCTTGAAGTTGTATGGTAGGCTTTGAGCTTACCAAACGGCTGATACTGCTACACCTGCCACTGCTCGACTGCAGATTAATGTGTCACGATTTTGCTTGCTGCTTCAACCTTCATGGGTTGAAACTTGAAAGAAAAGGAACACTGTCGTGATGCTGGCTGATTCGTTACTCTTTGACTTTGAGTTTCATGATAAAGCGAGCACGTCTCTGATTCTTTCTACATGGGTGTCTTCTCAGCTGCCATTGGTTTAATAGGAGTATAGGACGATAGATTTCATGTCATTTTGACGGGTGTGGAGGTTCTAGTTGCTTGTTGTTTGCTAGTCCTTGGTCCCTTCAATTTTGGGATCACAAAATTCTTTTTTCTTCCCTGTCTTGAATAAGCCATGGTTGACAAACCCACATGCGCTCTATCAGGAGACAAGCATTGTCTGCTGTTATAACTGTTGATTGACCTTTCTCTCAGTTATTCGGGTCTAATTCCATTCACCAGTTTTCTAATGTGTTTTACATTTATTCAAACAGTCTGCAGAAAATGTATACATGACAGATTCTCAGATGATGAAGTTGATACCTGTCCTGTATGTGATATCGACTTGGGTTGTCTGCCAGTGGAGAAACTCAGGTTAGTTTAACATACTGTAGTTGATGTGTCTTTGAAATTTCTGTTATTTAACTCCCTGGATTGCATATGGATGGAAGCATGCATGTATTACGTTATTGCAATGACATTCTTGATCAGTTTGGACAATAAGGACCTATGATTGAGACAGCTTATGTCACCATCGCCTACTATTGAACATTTTTCATGTGTCCAAGTGAGACTAAAACCTTATGATTACGTTCAATTATCTGAATAAACAATCTGAGCTCTGGCTGCAGATGGATGAGTGTTTGCTTTCCTATCTAAGCTGAAAATTTTCCATACATGATCATCTGAGTATCTCCTCATGGAAGGTGGTTTTCGCTGAAGAAGATTTATTTTGAGGGCTTGAGTGTACTCTGTTTAAACTGAAGAGAGAATGGATGTACCAACTTTAGTATTTTCTGATAACAATACAAGAAAATGTTGAAGATGTAAGTAAATTATGGTGTAAATTGTTCACGTAATTTTGAAAGATGGCCATGGAGTTGCTAATTGTTGATCTTCTCTGAAAGATGAGTTAGCTTACTTTTCCTATTTTTCTTTTCTTGTGCGTTCCAAAGTTCATAAGGACTTTTAGACCAATGTGCACTGTTATTTCTTGGCATCTCTTGACATACTTGGGGGAATTAGTTAGCTTACTACTGATGTCTCTGCAACCACTGCATTGGAAACATGATTATTTTTTTTCCTTACAAAAATATAATGAACATGAACAAAAATAAGAATATCTGATATCTATCCTGGGAGGTGGCTATACTCGGTATACATTTGATGATTTTTTTGCAGGCCTGATCACAATTTGCAAGATTTAAGATCCAAAATGTTTCCATCCAAAAGAAGAAAAGTTCATCCTACTACCGAGGTTGTCACTTCAGTTGCATTGCCAGCAAAGAGAAAAGAGAGATCATTATCATCTCTGGTTGTTAGCACTCCCAAAGTGCCTGTACAAACCAGTTCGACCGGGCGAAGATCCAAAGCTGGTCCAAGAAAAAATCCTGGATTACGAGGATGTAGTTTTACTACCGAAGAATCAAACAAAGATGAAGAAGAAGACTCTGCAGAAGAAGATCATCATCCAATCAGCTCAAGCTCCCCCGAGTCCCAGAATAAAATTCCACAACGGAAAAGGCAGGTACAAAGGACTACTAGTTCTACTACCTGAATGTTTCTGTACTTCAAGCTAAGTGCCAAACTTTGCTACTTCTTTATGTCATTTTGAATGTTTCTTTAACTGGTGGTGGCAGCATTCCTCTGCTGCCGAACCTTCTAATGAACAGAAACAAATGGATGCAAATAGGGAGGATGATGATGGTGAAGTGGTGGAAGGGAAAGCTGAAATATGGACACCCTTAAACTGTCTAGTTGAAGCTGCTAACACAACTAAGTCATTGAAGTCGAACTCACAACAGGTGCAGTCTGCTGCCAACTCAGAAATTTTGTCCACTGGGCCTGACCTCAAACCGAGAACCGTAGATACGCAATTGAATGTAGAGTCTCCTACTGTTGGTCAGGGTGGAGAAACATACATCCACCCCGAAAGGAAAAATAAAGAACCTGATCAGGGATTCAACAGTGAAGATGATAGTAAGGGGTCAAATAATCTGGTTGCACCACCGATGAAGCGTAGAAGGTTAACTGCAGCAAGAAGGAGGGAAGCTTTGTCAGAAGAGCTCAGTGCCTCGGCACAGGCTGTACTGGATTCTGCAATAAACAAGGCCAACCGGAGAAACTGCCCAGTTTGGTTCTCGTTGGTCGCCTCAGAGAAGTAAGTTTCTCTAACTGTAGAAACCAAAAGAAGCAGCAGCAGCTGCAGCCCACTTGGATGTTTAACTTTTTCTTTTTCCTTCTCTTTCATGGCTTCAGGAGGGGAGATGCTTCACTACCACAGATTCCTACTTGTTACTTGAGGATCAAGTGAGTTTCAAAATACCATTGCTTGATTCACTACCTTTTAGTGGATCAATAATCAAATACACCCAGTTCGATTTCTACTTTCTAATTTTCAAGTAGTAGGACCCGGCTTTACGTTATCCTTTATACATTTTCATTAAATTTTGTCCTTTTAATTCTATAGAACTCTGAATTTTATGGTGTCAGTTCTGTTATTTCACACCACTCACAAATTTCTAGTATTTCTCTGCTATCCTTAAAATTTTGAACAAATTGTGATGGCACCTAATCATCGTTTTAGAATCATTTACTTGTTTTAATATTTATTTTTTGCTCACAGTTTAAATTTTTACTAGCTGCTTCAGTTGGCAACTTCTCCAAAATTTGAACAAATTGGGAAGTTAGACATTAGATGTTGACTTTCTGTTGGGGTTGTGTGGGGACAATGGCAGGGATGGTAAGGTGCCTGTGTCATTCATTCAGAAGTACATTGTGAAGAAACTCGAGCTTAGCAGTGACGTTGAAGTAAGTTTATACTTGTCTGATTATGCTTCTCATTCGAAAGAGTCGTCATGAGGTTGGCTTGTGTTAGTTTGTCCGACTAAGGCTGACGCGACAGTGGTGGTGACAGGTGGAGATAATGTGCCAAGGGCAGCCGGTGGTTCCAACGCTGCAACTGCACAACTTGGTGGACTTATGGTTCCGGAATGCATCGACCAAGAGAGTGGAAGTACCTGTGGGTTCTTCTGCCAGGGACTTTGTAATGGTCTTGTCTTACTGTCGTAAACTACAGCAGCGGTCTTCTTAGAACGTACCCCCCACATAGTTTTAGTTCCTTTCTCCCTTCTGTTGTTGTTGCTTTACTTACTCTCATCCCTTCTCCCTTTATTTTTTCCATAGGTTATCGAGTATACAAATGTATGAAGGTATATGATTAAATTCATTATATTGGTTAGCAACTTCAGTTCTTCAAGTAATGCTTTACTGTTGAATAAGTTTATGCAACATGAAACCTAGGCATTGTAAACAACACACAGCTAAGGAACAATCAAATAGTTATGAATAAATCAATCTATTGAGTAACATTCATTGATAGCTTACGTACTCGTTGTTGTAGAACGTTGTCTACGGGTACATAGATATAAAAGCACCTGATTGTTGCTTTATTCTGGATTTATAGTGCAGCAGCCTATCTCGGATTCCAACTTTCCAACAATGAATTGGAATCCCATGTTTATGACTTTACTTGCGTCCCCTGTGAAAAACAAGCAATCAGGCACGCTTCGAATTGCTCTGACTTCTTTTTCTCTGAGCATATCTATATACTTCCTCGCTCGTCGAGTGATGACAGCTCGTAGAACCCAACAGTGCAGCACATTGCTCTTCATGAGTGTGCATAGGGCTTATCTAATCACTGTCATCTTCAGTGCAACCCCAAAACTTGACCTTGTGACCCAGTGAGCAAGACACACAGGAATGTATTCCAGCAGATAACAGATGTCACAGCACTATCGTGTGTGCCTTGAGTACTGTTTGAATGCACTCCTCGGTGTTCAAATCCCACACCTTGATCGTCCCATCCATCAAACCAGAATATAATCTTCTACACGAATCGCCATTAATGGTCGAAATAGAAGGTTGTGAGGATAATGAACTAGTTGTAGTTCGATTGTGAGTTGTAGTTCGATTGTGAAGCATGAGAAATATTTCAAGCCAAATATCCACCTTGAAATGCAGTTTATGCGCTCAGCCCCTGTTGAATTTACAAGGAAACTGTGTTTGAACATGAATGAATCTAAAAAGAAGAGGTCTGATATATGGCCACGAGACTGAAGCACCATACGCACGACATCATCCCTAAGCAATTTATTTGTTTGTCATATAAAATATGCACAGGAAGCTTGCATTCAAAGTTAAGGCATGAAGCAAACATATTTTTTTTATTCAAATAGAACACCAAGCAACTACTTTTGATGAATAAAATTGTTGCTATGTAAATAAAGTAGAATTTTCATCTTCAAAATAGGAAAGACAAGCAGAATCAGCTACATTAACACCATCAGTCTTCCCAGTAGCCGGACTCCAGTGAAGGATACAACACAACACAAAAGAGACACTGGAAATGCCAAACTTTGCTTAGCATAATAATTCAAAGCTCTTTGAAGGGCTTGTTCCCATCTCATCCCATTTCCAAACAAATTATTCAGACTTCGAATTCTACCATCAACCACACCCTTCGTCGCTTTTCCATCTGAGGGAGACAACGACGCGCCAACCTAATTCCGAAATCTAAACCAAGAACTAAAAAAATTAAAAACTGCAAAAACAGAGAGGCGGAAGCAAAAAAAAATTCGACACCTGAGAGATTCCAACTCTCGCGGGGAAACCCCATGTACTTAGCAGGCACACGCCTTAACCACTCGGCCAAAGTGTCATTTGTATTTCCTTTTTTGGTGATTTAATAATATATTAATAGCTTGTTATCTGCTGGCTTGATGTTTTAATTTGTTTGTATTTTCTTTTATTATATGTTATTCTTTTTCAATTGAGACAGTCTTTTAATTCTTTTATTTATTTATATCATCTAATAGGATGATCGCTGCACTTAGTGTGTGCTTAACGAGGATCAACAATTATGTCAAGGGTTAATAGTATTATACATCCTTGTATTATTGTGAATTAACAAACATCTCACTCTATTAATATATTGCACTTTTGTACCCTTCTACTATGCAATCGTAACAAATTTTCCATTTTGTCAAGTTATAGTTAGATAACAATTACGAGGCAGAAAAATGCCCAATTTATCCCTCTACTATTTTTATTTCTTTTCCATTTTTTCCTCTAAATCCTCTGCTAACTACTCTCTCTCAGCAATCATCCAGTCCCGTCCGTCGTCTATGTTGTTGCCCTTGTCTCGACTCTCGACCGATTTGTAAAGAGTAATCATAGTGGAGTTCAAAAACATCTAGCAATTCAAAAAAAAAAACGGTAATAATAATTTGTCTAGAAAGAATAGTAGTAGAGTCTAGAATCATTCACTCTATTCAAACACAATAAAAAAGCTGAAATGCTAAATGGCGTCCTAAATTTACTATTTGATGTACTAAATTTAATATGCAATTTACCAATTAGTCCAATTTCAAGTTTCAAATTAAAGCATAAATAAACAAGCCCCTTCTCTCTCATCCCTAACAAACAACACATTAATGATCCTCTCTCCTCCCTCAGGCCCTCACGTTCTCTCTTCCAAGTCCCTACCCAACCCTCTGGATATCCTCTGTCTATCTCAGCTGCCGCCGACCATCTCATTCCACCATCGACCTGATCCTTCCCCGAATCTCCACGAAGCTCCGCAACCCTCATCCATGTGCCAGCCAAATCATCCCCGTCGTTAACTTCTCACGTCAATACTCTGCAACTCCTCTGTCAATCCCAGTTGTCAATGGCCATCTAGTCCCATCATTGATCTGGTTCATGCCTGACCGCCGCTCCGCAACCACCCCTGCGTCAGACCTCTGCAACTCCTCTGTCAATCCCAGTCGCTGGCGACCATCTCATTCCACCAACGATCCGGTTCTTCCCTGACCTCCACTCCGCAACTGCTCCTAATTCTCACTGCCTCTTCGTTAGCCCAATAGCCCGTCCTGTCACAGGAAAGGAATGGAGGAAAAAGTCATTGTCTTTTGTCAGATCTCGTGTCCTAATGTGATGAAAGTGTTGCTGATGATTCCCAATAGCTCTGGCTTCGCGTCAATTTGAAAAATTCAGGAGAGGAAGAAACATGGGAGGTAAGGAGAGAGAGAGAGAGTGTGTGTGTGTGTGAGAGAGAGAGAGAGAGAGAGAGAGACTTCAAAATAAAGTGGTGTCTCATGGATCTTACTTGATTTTGCCTTTGTGTGTGGTCTTTCAGGCAAGATACATGGGTCGGAAATCATGTGCATGTGTCAGAGAATAAGATCATCCGAAGTAGAGGCACGTCCTCCCAACCCCTATTTTGACTATCGGTCAACCAAATTTTTGTTCTCATTTGGCCTTCCATTCAATCGACCAGTTGTACTCTTTTACCCATCCTTCCAACCGGCCATTTTGCTTTGTTCACCGTCCGACGCACACAGATTTTTTCTTCACGTACCCGTCCTTCCAACCGACAATATATACATGTTTCCCCATATGGAACAAAGATAATTTTTTATCGTGTACCCGTCCTTAAGGTCACGGGGTTGTCTCACTTGATCGAGTGCATGATGCCCCATTTGGTTATGTCCCTTTGACAGATGCTTTGAAAGCTGACATGTGTGGTCTTGTTCGAGTTGGCGACTTGGAAGGAGTTGTTGGTGGTAAGTGGAGTACTATTTGGTATATGAATGATGGCATGTATGGAGAGGGTGCATGTTTCGTGCTAGTGAGCTTCAGATTAAGGGGTTAAGGTGCAGTGTTACTTGTTTCTGATGCTAGGGTCCACATTGTTCGTGGACAAAAGTCAGGCTCGCATTCGTCCTGTAGTCAACTTATATCTAAAGAAGTACCATGATGTGGCGGGGTACGTTTGGAGTGTTGGTACCACATCTTTCCAACAATGTATGACCTGATCCACGATTAGTTGGGCTCCGGGTATGTCAAGACCTTTCTTCTTCCGCAGTTCAACCAAACATCTAGCCAGAATATTCTTATCTATGTGCCAAAGACATAGCAAATGCCTAGATGATGGAAAAATGACACTAACTGTCTTGACCAATCCTCTTGCCTTGTCACTGCCTATCGCATGTGGAATGATAGATCTAAGAATGAACTGCAAGTGCCTAAAAATCCTTCATAGTTTTAATTCTACTTCTAGTTTGTTTGTAAGATTTTTCCTTTACATCGGTTTAATCATATTGTCTTATAATTTGGTTACCAATGTAAAACCTGGATACAACTCATGAATTTGAGTAATAAATTTTTTAAATCCATCATGAGAATATGACCTAAGTAGACTTTGTAAATACTCAGTTAAATTCGCCTCTATGCTATAATGAATCAAATTTTGGCATCATTTTTTACTTGTCTAATCATTTGTAGGAAATTTATTTTTAGTTGTACCCTTATTGCTTTAAGGTTTTGTTGATTTCATTTATTTCAAGAGTTTTAGAACACTTGTTGCTTTTCATGGAGTATTCTACTTGTGAGTGTGCAGGAACCTCGAAGAGGCAGAAGTCCAAAAGTATCAGAATCGATGGCCCATGCTCCAATTGATGTCCTAAGCTCCATTTATGAGGTTTTTCTTCTATCAATGTAGTTCTGAATTTCAGGTCATTTAGTAACCACTCATATGAAATCCATAAGAAAATACCAACATTTAAGGTCCTCATAAGGGTAATAGCATTTGCTTTACTCTCTTAAAGCTAGTGCGTTATAGAAACTTGATCGGAAAATTCAGAAAAAGAGCAACCTCAGTCTCTTTTGGGTTGTTTCTCTTTGAGAAACTCACAAGGCGCAACCATTTTGAATTGGAGGCACAAGCCACCATTTTTAGCTGATGAGTGAAACTATCCACTATTTGGAAGCTTTACAGTTCTGAACCATGAGGGAAAAATCACACAAACTTTGTTTGATCTGTTTCGCCCTAAGGCAGTTGCGATCTAACCTAGTATCATTGACCAATTCGGGCTCATAACTTATATGATCCAACTTGTAAAGGCTAGTTTGCATTTTCTCTGGTAATAGGGTGATGAGCAGTGATACGTGCTTAATTATACATGATTTTTCCCTTGTATCTTGATTGTTTCTCGACCATTTGTCTTGGAAACGTCCAATTATTTGCCCGATTTATGCTAGGTTGTGTTCATTCTGTCTTGTTTCAGGTCCTAGCACGTAGAGGGAGCTTAGAAGTGAGTTTCGAGATATTTGGACGTCAAAACGGGATGAAAAGTGGAGGCAAACCCAAAGTCGCAGGTGATAAGATCCCGAGCTCGTTAAAGCTTAGGTTTTTTTTATCAAAGTCGCGCATGCACTATCTTTTTGGAATTTTTTCTGAATTTTCTCTCAACAACTCGAAAGCTAAAGGATAAGGCGGATTGAAGTGCAATCTCACACCTCCGAGAAGGCTCTATCAATATAAGGGTAGAGGCTCGACCACAATCAAGGTGATTACCTGATTGATACAAAGCAAACACTCAGGAAATTGGATTCCAGTGATTCACAAGAGAAAATTCCATAGTAAAAACTCAATGAACCAAAAAAGGGTTTTCTATTCAACATCCATCTCCCTCAAACCAGAGTTTGCAACCATTTAAATAGGTTTGGGAAACAAAGCTAATGAAAGTACAAAAAAAGTAAAAGGAATCATAAACGAAAATAGTAACTAATACTCGTCAGGGGCAAATCCCCTATCGTGCACCATCATATCCCCTATCTGGGGTTAGCACCCTCATGACCAGGGGTCCTTTTGATCTCATTCTCATATCGCGAACCTCAAATTCCTACTAAGGATGTTAACCCACATGATAGGAGATTTTTCCTGATCACCATACTATCTTTAGGGTGCTCATTTTGTGTCCAGGAAGCTTCAATCTTCTCACCCAATGCCTTCACGAACTTTAATTGGACTTATAATATGATGTCTAACTCCAAACTTCCCTCGAATGCCTCCCAAACAAAACGAGTAAGCCTCCAAAGTGGGTACCACAGACTGTTTCCCAGACTTGGCCAAATTCCCAACTTCTTATTTCCTTGACTTGGTTTCTTCTTTGAATATCAATGGAATTGGTTTTGGGTCACAATCCCGGATCACATCAGTCCCTCCCTGTTGGCAAAGCTTTGTCGTCAAAGCTTATATATTCCTGCACAAGAAATCATCATCATAATAATTGTAAAAAGGATCTAGATAAGCCATCTGCTCTTTGTCCAGCGTGACCATCTCGTAAAAATCTCCATCTTCCTTTTGCGATTCTGAAGTGCCCGGTGTTGGAGAAACCACCCCATTGTCTTCAAGGAACACGTTAGAATCGCTGGTTTCCTTCAACTTGTCCTCTAGATCTACACTGATTTCCTCAAAAAGTCAAACTCTGTTGCACCGGAGAACTCAACCTCGAACTCGATTCCTGCTCAGCCACGGTTTGAAGCGTAGCTCCCAGCTGAACCTTCTGTGCTGCAAGCTGTTTCTTGGCGTCTTCAAGGTTTGGCTCCATAGCTTGTTCTTCGTAGTCTTCTTTTCCTTGCCACTTCTCTTCACCGTTGAGTTTGCACCAGGCTATGATACCACCTGATACGATCCCGAGCTCGTGAAAGCTTAGGTTCTTTGATCAAAGTCTCGCAGTCATAATCTTTTTATGGTTCTCTCAACAACACGAAAAGTAAAGAATAGGGTGGATTGAAGTGCAATCTCACACTGGGAGAAGACTCTATCAATATAAGGGTAGAGGCTCGACCACAATCAAGGTGATTACCTTAATTGTACGAAGCAAACACTCAGGATATTGGAGTCCAACAATTCACAAGAGGAAATTCAAGAATAAAAACTCAATTAACCAGAAAAGGATTTTCTATTCAACATCCATCTCCCCTCAAACCAGAGTTTACAACCCTTTAAATAGGTTTGGAAAATAAAACTAATGAAAGTACAGAAAAGAAAAAAGATTCCTAAACAAAAAAAGTAAATAATACTCATCGAGACCAAATCCCCTATCGTGCACCATCAAATCCCCTATCGGGGATTAGCACCCTCATGACTGGGGATCCTTCTCATACCATTCCCCTATCGGCAACCTCAGATCCCCAATAGGTGATTTTAACCCACATGATGGGGGATTTTTCCTGATCACCATAATATCTTTAGGGTGCTCATTTGGTGTTCAGGAAGTTTCAATCTTCTCACCCAACACCTTCACGACCTTTAATTGGACTTATAATTTGATGTCCAACTCCAAACTTCCCTCGAATGTCTCCCAAACAAAACGAGTAAGCCTCCAAAGTAGGTACCACAGACTGTTTCCCAGACTTCGCCAAATTCCCAGCTTCTTCTTTTCTTGACTTGGTTTCTGCTCTAAACATCAATGTAATTGGTTTTGGGTCACTCACATCAACGGGAGTGACCTTTTGTCGAAAATTACGGTTCAAGGGGTGAGATTGCCTTGTAGTTGTGGCCTATTTGATATTTTCATTAATTGTAAAGTAAGTAAAGTAATGATGTGCTTAATATTATACATTTGACAAATGTATATGGCACGTGAGCAGGTAACTATTAAGCAAATTTATTTATTATACAACTATGATTTATTAATATAATAATAATTTTATTTAGATATTGTAGATTGTCATCTACGTAATACAACATGGGGTAAAATATATTGGGTACCACTTAAGTTTGAGAATTGGGGTAGACATACCACTTAAGTTTGAATAAGGCGTCGGGTACCATTAAAGTCACCAAAAGGTGCATCCGTCTAGTTTTCCATCCACCTAAAAATATAATTACCTTTTGGTACCCAAAATTTTTTAAAACATCCAAAACTATATTTCAACAAGTCTTATTGAATATAAAAATTAGAAAACCTTCTAAACATAGTATTACTAAAATGAATATTGAATTTTTTTTCAATAAAATAGATAAGTTAGTATAAATAATAAATGAATATAAAGAAGGAATAATAAATATAGTAGAAGGTAATAATAAATATATAAAATAAATATTAAAAGATATATATAAGATCAACATGATGTAAAATAAATATTAAAAGATATATATAAGATCAACTTGATGTAAGAAAACTAAATATAACAGATTATTTATAGAACACATAGGATATATTTGTTTAAGAGAATAATTCTATAAATAAAACACATAATGATAATTAAATATACGTATAATGATAATCGATTCTAAATTTCTTACTCAAAAATTGGTTTGGTATAAAACAGAGTCTTCAAAAGATTATTCCAACTGAACAATAAAAAAATAATTCTTTTCATAAGTTCAAAGGACGTTTTACAATAAAAAAAGTAGAAGGACCAATTCTGAAATTTAGAAAACGGAATATTCTAAGATATTCTGTCAACTTTAATAGAATGCACTTGACAGTAAACTTAAGTGGTACCGGGTGCACATATAATAGAGTTCAGTGGCACACGATGCCCTATTCTTATTTAAGTGGTATATCTCCCCCAATTATCATATTTTAGTGGTACCCGAGATATTTTACCCATACAACATGCAAATAGGTAACTATCAAGCATATCAACTTCTAGCAGTTCAACATTCGGAGATTTCATAACTGCAAGGGAAAAAATTGGTTTACATCAATAGACATAATATTATAGGAATGAATGAAGGAATTGTTCGATTAATTTGACAGAATCACATCAATTTTTTGGCTATAGAAAATCCTTTACGTTCATTGAAAATTTGATCTCCCGTTGGTGAGTGAGGTAGCCGCAAAATCGCTTTTCCCTTCCCTACGTTTCTAGTGGCGAAGCCACATTGTAAAAGCTTCGAGATTAGGGCATCAAAAATAACAATATTTGTATGAAATTCTTAATACTCAAAGTCTCAAACCCAACATCTCATGTTTATCAGTTTCACTTGTCTTCCTGCATAGTGTAGATAAATTGAGACACAAATTATGATTGCATATTATATGAATAACTATAGGTTTTACATAAAATTTTATCTCTAATTAATTATTCTAATTTTACTAATTCCTAATTTAGTTTTGAACTCTCTACCGTCAAACGAAAATTCATTGACAAACTATCATATATATTGTGGGTCATTTAAGTATTACTTAAATGTATTCTATATATTTTTATTTTTACATTGGACCCATGTTAACTGAAATTTTGACTACAATATGATAGACTTATGTGGCATTGCGAAGAAGGAACACTTCCTACAAATACATACATGAGCACTTAGTGATTACCAAAACTGAGCATCATGTATTTCAGGACCGTAGATTAGAATGTGAAACACGGGGAAATGAAAATTTTGAACTTTAATCAATAAATGAAATAAGAATCTACCTTAAGGCTTAAACACATTTACAAATAACAAAGGGTTAATATTTTCGTATGGCCTGAACTTTGGCCAAAATAAACATCCTGGCCAATCTTTTCGATCTATAACATCCTGGCCCGAACTATGCACCAAAATAAACAATTTGGCCAAACCCGATGTTTGACCGTTAACTTGGACGGTCAAACGCGGTGACTAACGGTCAACGCGCCACGTCACTGCCAAGTCATAAGATCTGATAAATATTTAATTTTTTTCGTTTTTTATTTTTGGTTTAACTAAGGTATTAGATGATTTTTTTAATTTATAATAATTTAAAATTAGGGAATGTGTGGAAATTGTGAATTATTTTAAATATTTTATGTTAACTTGGCAGTGACATGGCGCGTTAACTAACGGTCAACGCGTTTGACCGTCCAAGTTAACGGTCAAAAGTCGGATTTGGCCAAATTGTTTATTTTGGTGTATAGTTCGGGTCAGGATGTTATAAATCGAAAAGATTGGCCAGCATGTTTATTTTGGTCAAAGTTCAGGCCATACGAAAATATTAACCCAATAACAAACCCCATAAATGGGAACGAGTATGATGACTAAATTGAAATTCCGACACAACGGGAAAACACTTTCCAAAGCATGGGGAGCTTGGGCGATAATGAGTTTCTTCCTCTTGGGAAGGAATTTTCAACCAAGTTTAAAAACAATGGTATCAAGGACCAATATTTCAATACAAAAGGAAAAAAATGATTGACTCACCTGAGTTTACAGGACGCATAATCCAAATTTTAGGGAAATGGAAGGGGACACATAACCCAATCCAAAAATAAAAAATAACACATAACGAAAGCGTTTGGCAATTGGCCAAAAATGACCTTTCGTGAAAAATATTGAAACAAGAAGTGCATACATGGCAAATTTGGTAAAGGGTAAAGCCCATAATGTAATTGTTTAATAATTTGATTTGATAAAAGCTTGAATTACAATTATCTTTCAGGTCAAAGTTCAAACCAGATAAACTATTGTCCATTTTTGTTGACATTTTCAATGTATTTCTAACTACTCATGTAAGCTCAAAATAAATGTAAGAAAAATTCAGATGAAGCCATCTCAAACACAGAGCGGAAAGCATAATACTAGTACAAAGACATAAAAATGTAGGTAGCTTCAATAGATGATACAACAATTAACAGAATTAGCAAGGTTCTCTTTATACAACAACCCAGAGATTAATATGTACTCATAATTCTTCATTACAGACCCATATAAAAATTCACAGTTAAAAGACAAATTTCACTTCAGAAAAATATCAAAAGTCATCAGTTCTGGGAAATGCAAACAATAGGCTATTCCTTCTCAAAACATCCCAATATCATCATAACCCCTAATACTAAAATCGCAAAAATCTGTCTCTCCTGCCCCCCTTCTCCTTTTTAACGTTTTCTTCAAACAGGTTAGTGAAACTTTAAAAAAAAAACCCCAGCAGCAGAACAGGTTCATGACTCAACAGAGATGTTGGCGCTTGGCTGCTCTCCAGCCATATTCTGAGTAGCATTTGTGGTAGTGGTGGTGGTAGTAGTAGTAATTACATGATGTTGTTCTGACCCGGAATGACTATTCGCCTTGTTGTTGTGGCTGCTACCATTTGCCGCCTGTCCACTGCTGCTGGTACGAGTCCTGGCTCTTGCACCAGATGTGGATTCTTTATGGGCATGGTTGCCGAGGCTGTGGCGTTGCTTGACACAATGCTTGTTGACCTGTTGTTGCTCCTGATATGTGTTCACTGCAGCATCTCCACAGCTCTTTCTCCGGTTTAGCTTCGGTGATACTGGCCGTGTTAATGGCAGCTGACAAAATAGAAAAACAGAATATAGAACTCCCACATGTTAGAGTTGGCAAAACTGCTTCTTTCTTACGTAGAATCTATACCGTGCTTACATATGAAGAAGAAAGAAAGTAATTTGCAGCAGCATCACTTGTTCAGTCACAAAAGGAAGTGAAGTGCACAAATATAAAGAGTTGTTTAAAGATAAGAAGTGAGGACACTCCTTTATCACTTTGGGGGTGTTCGGTTCAGAATGTTTGTTTGTACATGATAGTGATTTGTACAAATTGCATGCTTACTATGTGAGGTTTAGTTCAGAAAAAAGTTCTTCATTAAGTGCGCTTGCTAGGAAATTGTAGTTTTTGTGCATATTTTCTGACACTGCATGTGCAATTTCAAATGTACTAAAATATGTTAACACTGTCAATCACAGAACAATCACTAGATGTTTGTTCAGTTGCATGTTCTTCCAAATATTACATTCTATCATTTGTTTAACTGATGGTTCGTGCGCATCAAACAAATAAACTTTTGTGCCATCTGATCAGGGGGATGATGGTTAGAAGTGGATACCTTCTTCAGTTCAACCTTTGGTGGAGGCGGCTCGTAGTAGAAATTGGGTACTGGGTTTGCTCTAAAGACCATGTTCTTTCTCATCTGCTTGATGGCTGCTTGTTGCTCTTCCTACAACAAAAGAAAGGCAAAGTTCGCTCAAGCCTGTTTGAATAAGACCAAATCCAAGTATCCCAACACGATGCAACTTAAGTTTATAGGCTACCAATCAAATTGAGTAGAGAGAATACCTTGGTCCTGGCCTCAGCCTGGTTTTTCTCAGCCTCTAGAGCTTTTTGTTTTTCCTCCAATTTTGTGTAGAACTAGAAACAGAAATAGAAAAAACAAAAAGAGTTCTAGCTAATTAGCTTCTCGATTAAGTTATAGATCTGTGGTAAAGAAAAAAGGTGATTTCAGAAGAAAAGTACCTCCCTCCGCCTTTGGGCACGTTCAGCAGATTTAAAAGTCGGAGCTGTGCCAACAGTGATAGATTTAATAGTCCGAACAGATGCAGCAGTTCTAGACATGGCTAAGGAATACAGACAGTAACTGAATTTCACATAAAGGTTTTGAAGAGTGAGCATGACCCTAAGTTATTTGCATAGCTTTATTATGCTGCTAACTAGTAAAAAACAATTTTTTTTACTCAATAAGAGGATACGGGGAAGTAGCAGAGCACTTGTCGTCTTCATCGAGATGCATGCCGTCATGTTGGAAGACCTTTCTCACTGACTTAGGTGAGCTATGCTGATAAAAATGACAAAAACAAAAATGTCAAGCACATTGAGGAAGAGCATAGAGAGAGTGGGAGGAAACCACTCCCAAAGTAAATGACCATAATGCTTTGCAGGATGAAAATACACTTCCAGATTGTAAAGAAACTTCAAATGCCAAAAGAAAAACTCATTTTGTGCAACAAAAAGAAAGTTGAGAAATCAAATTAGGCGTCCACCTATTAGGCTATTACCAAAACTACTACCAAGGATTCGGATAGTTACCTTTGAGCTCTTCCCACTGACAGGTGATAGCACATCGTCCGTATTTGCTAAGCTATACACATCTCCATGCTTTTCGGTCATCAAAGGAGGTGGCTGCAGGTGTGGTGCTTCAGAGTTTCCTGGACCACCCGAATTGAGTGTGAGCCAAGTTTTCACTTTACTACCATCAATTGACTTCTTACTTCTTGGTTTCTGACTTTTCTGCTCAGAAATGGGAGTTATAATACCATCGTTTGTGTTCTTAACACCTAAAACTTCCAACTCCTCCCTTTTTTTCCCTTGATATTGGTCTGCCGAAGTACTTCTAGCAGACACATGAGCACCACCACCCTGTGACATGCTATTTGACTTCCTTACAACAACACCATTACGCTTCTCATCCATGCCTGCATTCACAAGTTTCCGTCCCATCCAACTGCCACCAAAAGGTAAATGTTAGTCTTAGCCTCTGAAATGTTGTGATGCAATTCAGAGCTCCTCAATCGCAGGACGACATCCATACCAACAATGATTTCCAAATTTCTAAATCGCCACGCAATATGATTATGCTAGCGACCCAACATGTTAAACGTAATGCCATGTGGTAATGCACAAAAGCCCATTCAAGGAGATAACCTTTTCCTTTCTCCCTCACATAGCAATAGCATTACAAAACAAACATTCTGGGAGACATGAGAGGTACTACACCCAAGGTTAATCCTCCACAAACTTTCACGATTAAAAGTCCACATGAACATAGGAAGAGAAGATCTAGAACCTCCCCTCCTGATGAAGCATGTGGATAAAGCTCATTTAGTAACAGGTGAGGGAACATCTTCCCCGTCCTGGACCAGCAACAGATCCTTCCCAGATCGGAATGTCAAACTCCATTTCTAGCTCCATTTTCTTTTTTTTCCTTTTAGAGGGCTCTCCCTCCACATGCCAATATGGACGAAAGAAACATGATAAAAGGGGTAAGTAAGAAAGAATCTCGGATAATTGATAACTCCCATTAATTGTGGGAAAAGAGAAACAAATGAACCAACTAAAAATGGCCTGAATAAATGAGGTTGAATACAAGTCAAGGGAATACCTTCAAAAAGGAGCAAATAAAGGCATCAGCTCAATTACTACATAAGACTAAGAATTTAAAAAGAAGCTTTCGTGAACATCTTAAAATCAGAAGAAATCACACAGACAATAGAGGATAAATTGCAAGCTCGGATATTGCAAGAACAAAAACAACAGGAAAAAGACAAGAACCCAACTTCCCCCGCCCAAAAACAAACAAAACAAAAGGAAAGAAGGGTGCTGCTTGCTAAACCAACATTAAAATTTAAATCGGCAACCAATTAGAAAACAAAAAGAAGAAGAAACAGAGATTAGAAAATGTGGAGATGTATGGGAATCTCTGCAAGTTTATATACAACTTCTGTTGGTCCAAGCTAACAAATAAGAAAATGAGAGTAGCAGCAAGGTTGAAAGTAGGAAAACCAGAAGAAGAAACGAAGAAATAAACATAAAGAAGAAGAAAGGAAGAACCTTTCATAGATCGAGGCACATTGCTGGTCCGGAAACAAAAACAGGGAAGAGCAGCAGAAGAATCCAAAAAGAGCAAGAAATATGGTAAAGATTTCTTACAATTCGTGGTCCGATCTAACAATATCTCAAACGCAAAACCCTCCTTCCCAATCCTAAATATTTTCTCTCTCTCTCTCCTCTTCCTCCCTAGTCCCTATCTATCTATCTATCCATGCCTCCCCTTCCACCTCTATCTCTCTCTCTCTAAATATAAAACGATGCCAAAATGTTTTATGTGATTTTGCATTTTAATAGCTAAAGGCTAGGGAAAAGCAGAGTTTGACTAAAAATATTTCTTTTTTAAGGATCTTACAAAACTTCTAGAAAAGCTCATCTAGGGATGGAAAACGGGAAACAAGTATTTGAAAATATCCATACATGTCCCGTATTTTGAAGGTTATGGGTACTCAGCTGTCAAAATGTAACCCGACCCGAGTAACCCGCCCGATCAACCCGACCCACAACTCGCCCGCAACCCGATTTGACTAAAAGTCAATGACCCGTAACCCGCCCGACCCGCAACCCGACCAACCCGCAACCCGACCGACCCGCAACCCGACCAACCCGCAACCCGATCGACCCGCAACCCGACCAACCCGCAACCCGATCGACCCGCAACCCGATTAACCCGCAACCCGACTAACCCGAACCCATAACCCGACCAACCCGCGGCCCAACTATAATAGAAGGAATTCGATGAAGATAAACTATAAGTTGACATTTGAAATCCTAGTTCACTAAAGTCTTATCATTACATCTTTAGTTATTAACTTAGTATAATAATATACATCATCAACCTATTAACTCATATAACATCATCAAATATATTGATTTAGATACATCATCAACCTAATAGTCCACATAAGATTATAAAATATTAGTTTAGCATAATAAGATAATTATAAGATTTAAAATCCAAATATCATGGTCCTATCATAAAAAAGACTAATAATAGTTCACAAAAGTCTGATCATAACAAGAAGAATACATGACTCATAATAGTTCATATTGTCTCAAGACCTCAAATATCAATAAAACATGTCCAAACAACAAATTGACATTCCAAATGACGATCACTCTAGAAGCTTTACTTCTTCTCCATCATCCCTCGTATCTTCATCATCGTCATCTGTACAATTAATCAGTGAAAGGAAAATAATAAGGAAAAGAGAATAGTTTGTTCAGTACAAATATAACAATTTGTTTTTTCTTACCCATTTGGTATCCTCGTATCCAATTACGAGTTGTCACAACAGCTTCAAGAGTATCAGACAAAATCGAAGTTCTCCATTTTGTTAATATTCTTCCTCCCAAACTAAAAGAAGACTCTGATGCAACTGATGTAATTGGAATAGAAAGTACATCCTTTGCCATTTTAGAGAGGTGAGGAAATCGAAATTGATGGTCCTTTCCAATATTGCAAGACATCAAAAGGAAGTAGCTTAGAGACTCCATCAATGTCCCCAAATGCAGGTATCAAAGGATCAGCCAAATACAATTGCAACTCAGAACTAGTTGACGTATTGTGGTTGATATTGGATGCATAAAACCCCTACAAACAATAAATATAGATATCATTGATATTAAGTTATTAACACATAAGCATGTTCATCATTTTCTTTACAGTTAGCTGGTACATGAATCAAAACAAATAATTAACCAAAGACCAAAACACAATAACATAATTCATAAATGTAGCAACAAACAAATACTTACAGCAGTGTAATTGTCCAAGGGAACGCTTGGAGAAGTCATAGACACACCACTTTGAGTAGCTGAAGTGGCCGATTGATTCTTATATTCTTCCAAAAGCAACTCCAAATCATCCACAACATCCTCGACTTTTGAAACATATTCTCCACCCAACTTTTCATAGCAATAATTCACAAAAGCAACCTTATAACGAGGGTCCAAAATAACCCCAAAAGCAAGCACCAAGTTGTAGTCTTTCCAATACTTCAAGAATTTCAACATCATTGCATTTGCCATAGCACGTATATCATCATCTAGACTTGTACAAAGAAGCCTCAACTCAAGATGAATCTTCCAAACATTCTCAAAAAACAGATTACTAGTCGGGTACTTAGTTCCAGAGAATAACTTTGTGATTTCATCAAAAGGCTTCAAGAATTTTATAAGCACTTCTATCTTCTCCCAATCTTCAGATGATGGACATTCATTATACTCGAAATCCATCCTTGCTAAGTTTACAAATGCTTGACGATAATGATTTGCCCTCTCAAGCATATTATAAGTTGAATTCCATCTTGTTGGCACATCCAACCACAAAGACCTTGTTTGTTTCATCCCACTTTGCTCAACACATTCCTTAAACTTAATTTTCCTTCCTTCAGATCCTTCTACATATTTTACACTTTCTCTCACAGATCTAATACCATCTTTTATCACCTTCAATCCAGCTTGGACAATAAGATTCAATATGTGCCCACAACAACGTATATGAAAGAACTTGCCATCACACAACAATCCATTTTGTCCATTCAACTGATCACGTAATTCATTTTGCATGTTAGTCATATTGCTAGCATTATCCAAGGTGATAGAGAAGATCTTGTTATCAATACCCCACTCTCTGAGCATACGATAAATGGTCGTCTTCACTCTATAAGAGGAATGTGGAGGAGGAAGATGAGTAAAGCTCAATAGCTTGCTATTCAGTTTCCATTCATCATCAACATAATGAGCCGTCAAGCATATAAATCCTCTAGTTGTCAATGAAGTCCACATATCACTAGTCAAACAAATACGACTAGAAATCTTTTGCAAGCTAGACTTTAACTCCTCCTTCATTCTTTCATGGATCTTCACAATGTCAGATTTATGTGTATTCCTTGAAATAGGTTTAGCCTGACCATTCAAATAGCTATGCACATCTCTATTTCCTTTATGTTCAACACATCTAAAAACATAATCATGTGAAATTGTGCATATAGCTAATTTCTCACGAAAACCTTACTGAGTTATGCAATTGGGACCAGTAGACTCATTCCTTAAATCTTATGGTTGGTGGAGTTTCTTACATACCGCAATATGTCGCTTCAGAGTAGATGTGCCAAGCCTTGACTCCGCCTTATATATCTTCCCACAAAAGTTGCACTTTCCTTTCTCCAGAAGAACTCCATCGTCATCAACGACATTAAATAGTTCTACATCGTCCCACACTTCCGATGTGCGGCGAGAATTAGCCTTCTTTTTAGGGGGTGAAGAAGGGCTAGAACCAGTAGTACTACCAACACCACTTCCCGAATTATTAGGATCCATGTCTGCAAATTCACAACAGCAGAATGGAGACAAACAATCAGAACACCAAATTAATTTATTAACAGTTACCAAATCAGGTAAAGTACTGAATACAAGCAGCACCGGTTCTTACCAGTGCTGATCAGGAAGCTCAGCTTCGGTTCTTACCATATGAACAGCCAAATTACAGATAAAGTTAAGGCAGAAGATAATCAGTAGTTTTATCCAGCCATTCTCCATGGCCATTCTCCACAGGACAGCATTCATCAGTTGCCCGACGGAGAAATCAAACAGTCAAACCAACAGCAGTAAGCACCCAGTTCACGGAAATCTGAGTTACCTTCGGGGAAGTCGTCGCTGCGACGAAGGCCTGACAGCAGAGAGGGTCGGCGACGAAGGAGAGGGTCGGAGGTTATGGAATTTCGGAGAAGGCCTGACTCGGAGACGAAGGACCGACAGACGAAGGAGAGGGTCGGCGGTCGGGTATGGCAGGCGGCGGCTAGAACAAATGGTTATGGAATTTTAGGGTTCTTTCTTTCTGGGAGCAGCCGAGCAGGAGAGGGTCGGAGGTTATGGAATTTCGGAGAAGGCCTGACTCGGAGACGAAGGACCGACAGACGAAGGAGAGGGTCGGCGGTCGGGTATGGCAGGCGGCGGCTAGAACAAATGGTTATGGAATTTTAGGGTTCTTTCTTTCTGGGAGCAGCCGAGCAGGCTCAAATCGCAATTCGCAAATGGTTATGGAACGAGACAAATGAAGTTTCTTCTTTCTTTGCATTTAGTTTTGAGTTTCGAGTGTAGATGTTAAAAGTTAAAATAAAACACAAAGTATCAAAATGTGAGGTAGCAGAGTTGGTTAATGGGTGTTTGGTGAATTATTGATTAGTAAGCAAAAGGTTAGTGTTTCGAAACCCAGTGAAGATTTTTTTTTTAATTAACTGTCTATTTTTTTTAGTTGCCGTTTAAATTAA